TCTTGTTACATTTTTTCTTTGCTAAATCTGAAAATTAAAAGGTTATATATATATATTTGCAACTGTTTTGGACAAGTAAGTTGAGGGGCATATTGATGTCCAGTGGACAAGTTATGTAGGTAGTTGAGTAGAAAGTAGTGGTGCTTAACTGTGAAGTTAAGAATGGAGATAAAATTTGGGGTGGCATCAAGCAAAAATGTTACTCACAATTATGAGATCTGACAGAGTTATTGAGGAGAAATTATAGAAAAAGAGGAAAAGAGCATTGAAGATTAATCCCTGTAGCATTCTAGCCCTTGGCCAATAGGTTACAAAGACGGCACAGCAAAAGAAAGACACCAGAAAGGAGCAGCAAATGGATCAGAAAGAAAATCAGAGTCGTTTGGTGATTTCACCAAGGGGGAAAAAATGGGAAGAATGAAGCAGTGCCCAGCTCTGAGAAATGCTGTTGGATGATTTCTGAAAGGAGACACAAAAGTCACCTTTTGCCTTGGCAACTGGGTCATTCCCATTCTAGACTTCTCTAAATATAAATGGCCAGTGTTTCAGAAGTGAAGGAAACGGGAAGGGAAGGTATCTTTTATTGTTAGCTTCATAGGGTCCTGTAAGTCAAATCTAAAGTGGCAAACTTCCACTTTTTCTTTCAATTAATAAACAAATTAGGAATAAGTTATTTAAGCACAAAAGAGAATGATGGGGTTTAGTAAAAGACCAAAGAAATTTTTTTTTTCCTTCAAATTACTTCAGTTCTAAAAGCAGTAAGTTAAATATACACAGGAACAATGACTTGGCACAAATGCTATAGTCAACTTTCTTATTCAAAATTCAGTTTCAATACGGTTTATACTTTGTGTTTGTGGATAAACAAAATTATATGTGGTGTCAGTCATTCTTATTTTTATATTAAATAGAAAACACAGCCACTGAAGAAAATAACTAAGTACTTAAGGAATTATGTTATTGAGAATTGTTGTTGTTGTTATGTGCCATTGAGTTGGTCTGGATTCATAGCGACCCCTGCTTGGGTTTCTGAGGCAGTATCACTATGGAAGTAGATAGCCCTATCTTCCTTCTGAGGAGTGGCTAGTGGATTTGAACCGCCAGCCTTCTGGTTAGCAGTCAAATGCCTTAGGCACTACACTACCAGAGCATAATCCTATGTGATTCATAATTAAGGAAATAATTAGCATGATTAAAAAACCAATGACATGATGTTAGAACTTTAGAAAAATATTGGTCACATGATGTTTAAAATAAATTAATTTTATATTTACTTTTCAGTTTTGTAGAGTATATAATTCTTAAAATATATAATCCTTTTCTGCCTTTATTTTTTTGTGTATATAAATTTTTAGGTAGAAGTTAGATTCTCTTTATGTTCTCCCACTCTGAAACAATACATAAGAAGTTTCTCTAAAATGAAAACTTTTAAAAAAAATATTAAAATTAATCTATTTTAAACATAAACAAAATTTAGAAGTATTTATATCAAAATATAATATACTTACCACCAGTGTACTAGCATGAATTGTTTCTAGTTATTTTCTTCATATTTTAAGTTCAAATTGCTTCAAATTAAATAGGTGCACTGGATGCCTTTGTTATAATAGGTTTTAGAGGTGCCATTGGTAGCATAGTGCCTAGGGCACTTGACTGCTAACCAGAAGGCTGGCGGTTCAAACCCACTAGCCATTCCTCAGAAGGAAGATGGGGCAATCTACTTCCGTACAGATACTGCCTCAGAAAACCAAGGAGGCGTCGCTATGAGTCAGGTACAACTCGACGGCACATAACAACAACAACAACATTGATTCTTCATATTTCCTGATATAAATATGTAAAGTAAATAGAAACTCCTACAACGTTAAAGAGTCTTACAACCATTTTCCCACCTGCAATTATATTATGAAAAGGAATGCTCTGGAAAGTGAGTAATAAAGACTTATATATTGTTGAATCCAAATATTGTTTGGATTTGATGTAAAAAGCCCTATTAAACTGACAATAAAAGATAGCTTCCCTTCTTTGTTTCCTTAACATATGAAAGTGATTAGCTTGTAATATTGCATTTCACATTATATTGTATTTTGATTAGCTTACAATGGGAATTGTCCAAGTTGTCAAAGTCAATGGTAACTTTTGTGTCTACTTTCAGAAATATTTCAACGTTTTTCACAGCTGACCATGCTTTCATTCTTCAAGTTCTTTTTTGCCTTGGCCATCAAGTCACCAATCTATTCTGATTATTCTCTAATACAGATCAGATTATTAACTATATTAACAGGTAAAAGCAATTGCCTCAAAATAAGTAGCATGGAGGTAGATTGATTATTTTTAAGGTATATTCAGATTTACGTCAGCTGCAATTTTCCTGTTTATATATGTAATCTCTGCCTTTCACAATTTCTTAGTGGGGTTTATTATTTTATTTTTTAACCAAGAATAGGAGAGATTGGATTTCTGAGATGGACTTAGGTACCAGAGGATAGTCTAGCATACAATCTTTTTTTCCCGTGTTTTAGGTGCAGATTTATAGAGCAGAATATGTTTTACATTCAACATTCTGTGTACATTTGGTTTCACTCCCCAATCGCCCTCCCCAACCCTAATGCACTCTCCTCCTCTCCCTTCCCAGTAACACCCCTTCCCTGTGCCCTTCTTTGTCATGCACTCCTGTGTGCCCTGCTTCTCCTCCATGTGAATGGTGCCCCTCTGGTGCCCCATGGCCAATTGCTCCAAGGGATGTATCTCCGTGGAGTATGTGGGTGCATGGCCCTAAGTTGAGTGTTCTGTGTGTATGTCTTAATTACTACTGGGCTGAAAGCCAGCCCTTCAGTGTGAGCTTTATTCCAGGCCCAAAGTGTATCCCAGGGCCATAGTCTTAGGGGTCCCACCAGACTCCATCAGACCCATAATTATACTATTTGAGGGTTGGAGTTCTGAAATCAGATTAATCAGCATTCAAATTATGACTCTGAACTCTAGTTTTTGTAATATTGGGCAAGTTACAGAGGCTTACTCCAGTTCATTTGCCTTATCTCTAAAATAAGGATAATAAAATCAGTTGGCTCACAGGGTGCTTTGAGAATTAAAGGAATTATGAATGTAAAGCCAGTGATCCTTGCTTAAAAATGCTAGTGTATCAGTAAAATGAAGCAAAATCTCTGAGTTTTGGTTACTAAGATAGCACCTATAGTGACTGACAGTCAGAAGAGAGATTTTACTGATTTGCAAATTACATCTTCAATCTATATTTTCTAACTCTTTTAGATTTTGCTATTGTTGTTGACTAAAGAAAGTAAACACACACTTAAATGTATGTGTCTATGGTCTTTTTGTTGTTGCTGCTTTGATGTAGTGTCAGGTATAACACTCCATCAGTGTTTTAGTCAACGGTTAGTTGATATTGTCAACTTGATTCCCACACAATATTCAGAGTAAGAACATTACAATACTGTATGTGGATTCTCAAATTCTTTGTTGAATGTGTGTGTTAGAGAGATGAACTGCAACAAATTTCATGGATGGATGTACAGACTGATCTATGAGCGTTTCAATCAATCTATCTACATATCTACCTATTTATGAAGGATTATAGAATATATGCAGTAGAATCTGTTTATTTGTACCAAAACAGTTGAAAACAATTTGAAGCCTCTTCAGTTCTACTTGTGCATGCTAGTTTTTTTTCTCTGTATGCCCAGCAGCCCAGTGCCTAACATATGTTAAGCTAGTAAGTGAATGAATGAGTGAATATTGGTCATGGGTATGTGATCCAGCCATTTGACTAATTATTTTGATCTGTAATTTAAAAAAAAAAATTGTTTAAATGACAACTTCTACATTCCACCAGCCACTCCTCAGAAGGAAGTTTGGGCAATCTACTTCCGTAGTAATACTGCCTTGGCAACCCAAGGAGGGGTCGCCATGAGTCAGGTCCGAATCGATGGCACATAACAACAACAACATTATTTATAAATATAGTTTAATAGCAACTGAAATGGAAAGTGTAATAGCTTTTTTATCTGGATACTTAATTGACATATGTTTTAAAGTAAATCTACTTTATGGAACTGAAAATAATATTTTGTGCCATTAACCCTGAATAATTAGAGCTAAGTCTATTAATAAATGTTCCATATACTGTGCATGGGGGCTGGGGAGAAGTTGCTTTCCTATAGTCTCATATTATTTTCCTCTTTACTAATATTTTTTAACTTTTTATTTTTGAATAATTATACATTTGCATACACTTCTAAGAAATGATACAGAGGGATCTTGTATGCTATTTATGCAGTTCCCCCCAATAATGACATCTGCCATAACTATAGCACAATATCACAACCAGAAAATGGGCATTGTTTCATTCAAATTTCACCAGTTTAACATATGCTTATCAAGAGTGGCTGTAGCAGTATGTATATTTCCATCAATAATGCATGAGTGATATTTCATTATGATTTCAATTTGCATTCTTGTGATAGCTAATGATGATATTGAACATATTTTCATGTGCTTATTGGCTATGATATTCTTTTCAATGAAATATCTTTGGTTCATTTTTCGATTGTATTTTTTTATCATTATTATTTTATAGTTGAGATATTTATTTTCTCTGGATACAAGTCTTTTGTGAGACAGTCATTTGTAAATAATTGACCTCAGTCTGCAGCTTGTATTTTCATCATCTTTTTTACAGAGCATCTAATACTTTTGAGTTAATATATTTATGTACTCAAATGGTGTGCCTCTTCTTATAACAGCATAGCATAGCAACTAGTTTACAAATAAAATTAATAATTGTACAGGCATTTTAAAATTGTTCCAAGTATTTTTTTTAAGTTAGTTATCTGAACTAAGTTAATATGTTAATATGTTAACTTAGTAGGTTCAACTTAGATATATGGAAGGTTCTAAACTTTATAGTGTATCGTTGTTTGGAACTGTGAAGATTATTTCGGTAGTATTCAAACTATATTTTTGTTTCTGTCTTCTGATAGGTTCCGTTGCCACCGCTTGCCGTGACCCAGGAGTTCCCATGAATGGGACCCGCAATGGGGATGGAAGAGAACCCGGGGACACTGTTGTTTTTCAGTGTGATCCAGGATATGAGCTTCAAGGAGAGCAAAGAATAACCTGCATTCAGGTAGAAAATCGATACTTCTGGCAGCCCAGCCCACCAGTCTGTATAGGTATGAATTAAAGAACAATTAAAATGTTATGAAAATATGAAACAATGGTCAAAACTGATATTGATACTGTTAATTAAGAACCATATTCTCAAATGGGTTCCATATGGGAAACTAAGATTGCAGAGCTCCATGAACTTCCCAAAGATATAAAAAGTTATAAATGTTTTCTCCTGGGATGGGTAATAATTCTCAAAAGATTCTCTAAAAGTTATGAATCATAGCTCTTGGAAAGCTTTGATCTTCACTTACCTGTAATGTAAACTCAATTATTCACTCACTGCCTTTAAAGTTTAAAAAGTAGATTCAGACTGTGCATTTAAAATGAGTTGGAGAACAGTACATCCTGCTTGACCACAACAAAGCTGTGGGACTGCACTCCAGATCTGCATGGTGCCCACAGATTGCACTCAATGACTAGATAGCCAGGAGGCCAGGAGGAAAAGGGCACCAATTACTAATAAGGATTGCTCCATAAACATCACGTCCTTCGGCTCCGAGCCTGAACACAAGTTAGCACATAGTGAGTACCTTTTATTACTTACTAGAAGCAGACAGCATATAACTGGAAAAGTTCGGTCATGAACAGTTCCCCTCAAAAGCTGTCTGGACAGAGACGATAACTCTTCTTTGTACACCCCACTTTGTGCCATGGTGAAGGGCTTAAATGGGACCCTTCCTACTGCCAGTCTCCCCTGGGGACTGTAAGTAAGCTTACCCTCTATGTGCCCTACCTGTGCCATAGCCGAGGAGACTAAGAAAACTGCCCTCCACCTATTTTATATTCTCATGAATTATATCTTTTTGAGTCTGCTACAAACTTCCTACTGAATCATGCTGACATCCTGAGAGAGAGAGAGAGAGACTGATTATCCCAGAATTGTATCTTTTTAATTTTGCTAATAAAGGAAGGTTGGGCGATCTACTTCTGTAGTGATACCACCTCGGAAACCCAAGGAAGGGTCGCTATGAGTTGGGTCTGACTCGACAGCACATAGCAACAACAACAATAAACATCAGGCTTCAGTCAGTATGTCAATTTGTTCTGAGGCTTGAGGCCTACAGATACCAAAACAAAAAATCCAAACTCTCTGCCATCAAGTCAGTTCAACTCACAGTGACCCCTTCTTGGGTTTCCAAGGTGGTGTCTACACAAATGGATTTCCCAATCTTCCTTCCAAGCTAAAGATGCCAGTAGGGTGGGTGGGTGGGGGGGAACCTGTTGCCATTGACTCAATTTTGACTCATAGTGATGCCAGAGGGTTTCCAGAATGAAAACATTATGGAAGCACTCTGGTACGTCTTTCTGCCACAGAGTGGCTTGAGTTTGAACTTTCAGTTAACAGTCAAGTGCTTAACTACTGCACCAAAACAAAATCAGAGTAAGGAATGGAGAAAATTATGGCTGCCTGCCTTGTCCAAAGGATTGACTCTTCACCTGGGCCATACCGATTTTGCCTCCAGAGTGGTTATGAGAACCAACGTTAGGGTTTCAAACTTTGTCTCTCCATCCAATTCAAATATTGAAAAAAAAAAATTAGTTTTGGAGATATAAGCAATTTAGCAGCTGGGTCATTTGATTACCAAGAAAATTTAAAGAGACTTTATTTCTCTATTGGTTGAGAAAAAGTTACAGAGACAGACCAATTTTGGAATAAATTTGATGAGAAAAGCTCCATGTAACCTTAAAAAATCTCATTGTTATATTTTTAAGTAAAATAGTGTAGGTCAACCCTTTTAGATAAAGTATTTTGTGCTGAATTTACAATAGATTTGGTTGAAACTGTATTCCCTCTACTCTGGATTTTATTGATGTATAGCTTCTCTTCCCTACTACACTGTAAGCAACTTGAACGAAGGTTCTGGTTCATTGTATTGTGTCTAGCATTCAACTCATTCAAATGTAGCATAGTTAGGGGAGAAAGTCTTTGTTATATATTGCCAACTCTTAAATACATTTTCAATATAGTTTCACAGTGACTTTTTTTGAGAGTCCTATGGGAATAAGAAAAGTAGATTGCCCAGTCTTCCTTCCAAAGAGTGGTTGTTGTTGTTGTTGTTATGTGCCGTGGAGTCGGACCAACTCTTAGCGACCCCTCCTTGGGTTTCCGAGGCAATATCACTACGGAAGTAGATTGCCCAACTTTCCTTCCCAGGAATGGTTGGTGGGTTTGTATTGCCAGCCTTCTGGTTAGCAGTCAAATGCCTTAGGCACTACACCACCAAAGCTCCTGTATGGGAATAAGAAAAGAGTGTTTAGTACTTCAGTCAGAACTAAAGAATCCTTAGCATTCAGTTATTCGGTTTCATTTCACTCCCTTTTGTAAGTTCTTGTTCAGGAGTCGCAAAGTTAAATTCTTGTGTTATGCAATATCCTGGACACTGTACCAGGCGCTGGTGACTTGGCACTGAAACAAGACAGAGAAGTGCCCCTTTCCTATGCACCTTGGTTTCCAGTAAAATGAAAACTAAACATTACAATGCTTACATCATCTTTTCTCTATTTTATATGTTGGGATTTTTAAAACACTTCATGCACCAAACAACACATATCTCCACGTCACTCCAGCCGGGAAGTGTACAGACAGTTTCCCAGCCTCTTCTGGAGAAAATAAGGCAGATGACAGGAAGCAAGCATATTAATTTTGTTTTTAAAGCACAAAGAAAACTTTAAAGACATATATGTTAAGCAAGTTCAGATTTAGCCATATCTCCTTATTATTATTCTTTATTTACGCCTGTGTTGATCTTCACATACCTCAGCAAGAGTCTAAATCATCAAACAGTGATTAACATATACTTGCCACAAGTGCCCTCGTAAAAACAAGGGAAATACTGTTAAGAAACAATTTCAAACAAAATAAGCTTGAAACACTGACATTTCCATTTCTTTGTTTACTACTTAGTTAACTTAAAAATTCCAGTTAAAATATTATATCCCAATTAAGTGGAATTTGACTGTAAATTTAGTAAAGAGAATTTTAATGTGAAAAGAACTGATAATATACCAGAGGCTTCCTGTAGATCTTCTTGCTTTATTGTAACTCTTACCTCAGGTAAGAGGGGTTGCTCAGTAGAATTACTTGAATGGCTATGTATGGCAAATGTATTTTGAAGTCTTAAAATATTGAACAACTTCAAACTGTAATTCTATAAAATACCAAAATTCAAAAGGCAACAAATTAAAAACTTCTACGATAAGCTAAACTTCCATTATAGAACAGAATATGCTTTAGCTACCAATTTCTAATTCTAATAAATAAATAAAATGATCTCACTTCAATTGAGCAGGTAATGGAACAATTTTGTTGTACGGATTGTGATGCTGTGTATTATATTTTTGGCAGGAAAAGATAGCTTGAGGAGAAGATATGCGTTAGAGCATTTCAGAGGAAGAAAACAAGCTTAAAAAAAAGTCTGAAAAATTGCTAAGGCTGCAGAAAGCTTGACCTCTGAAACTGATAAGAAAGAATACCATGATTGGAAATACTATGCTAAAGATTAAACTCTGAACTTTTTAGAAACTCCATAAGTTTATGTCTCAGACCTTGGAGCATAAGATATTTTGCTTGCATGTAGTAGTAGTCAGACTTATAGCAAGTAGCAAACAGAGGGACGTCATCTTTAAGAGAGTTAATAGAATTCATTCCCAACAAAAGTGACAGTGTGAAGATTACTTTGACATTGCCAGAGGGAAAGAAGCGCATTCAATATGAAGGTAAATAACAAAGACATTAGTGGGGGTGGGATGCTGAGAAAGATAGTAGACAAAAAATAAAATTGAATTGGGAAAAAAAAAATTAAGAACATTGTAAAATAGCTGCCAATATTTGATGGCCATGTAGCTGCCTCACATGAAATTACATGCAGAACAAATCATTAATGTCAAAATGTCATGAAACGTAACTGAAATTTAATTCACAAATTTATTTGACTTAAAGAGAATCTAATTTTGGATGCTTCATGATAAGATGCATAAAAATAAAAATGCATTTCTAAATAATCTTTAAAGTTTAATATATTTAGACGAAGAGAATTTTCTTTACTCACTGAGGGACTGGAATATACAAATGTCAAATGATGCCGCTGCGTGTCTCACTGGCTTTTGTATTTCAGCATCAACTACAGGATTGAAATGTATTGGGAAAACCTTGATAAATAATTTAAATAAGAATATCAAAGGATTTTAGAGACTCTCATGTCCAAATAATAGTATGTTGTGTTGTTATGTGCCGTCAATTTGGATCTGACTCATAGCGACTCCTCCTTGGGTTTCTGAGGCAGTATCACTGAGGAAGCAGATTGCCCAACTTTCCTTCCAAGGAGTGGCTGGTAGGTTTGAACTGCAAGCCTTCTGGTTAGCAGTCAAGTGCCTTAGGCACTACACTACCAGAGCTCCTAAATAATAGTATAGCCATGGAAATTATTCTGCAAAATACTTTGAAATATATATTATAGATTTTCATATATCTGTTGTGATAAATGATTTATTTATATAAACACATATGTGGATGTGTTTTTGCAGAAAATTTCTAACAAATAATCAATGTTTCCTGTAAAAATAAACTTCATAGCCTTAACAGTCTTAACAAGTAAATACTCTCAAAATAGTAGGAGGTGAAGTCATCTGAGAGTGACTGAAACAAGGGGACACAAGAGCATGGAGGACTGTGTAAGTGGATCCACAATTTAAATGGCAAATATTATCAAATTTTAATTAAGCTTATTGCATATCAAAACCCAAACAAAGAAGAGCAATGTTGACATTTCCCAAAGCAAAAGTGTCCTCCTTGCAAAAAACAGTTCTGTGCTGTCTGAGGCATCTGGTTTGTCTTTTAGCTGATATGTAAAATCTCAGAAAACCATGTAAGAGACAAAACCTACGTAAGAGAAGAATGCCGATGTGCTGGTGCACTGATTAGGTGTCGGAAACATCACAAAATCATGAGAATGTCAATCTCTCTCTCTCATTTATGTATGTGCTGGTGTACTGCATATGTGTAGGAAATATCACGAAATCATGAGAATGTCAATCTCTCAATCTCTCTCTCTCATTTATCTATATGTAGATCCCCCACTCCCCCACTCTTCTACCAGGTACCTCCATATATTCATTTTCACTCATTGTAAGAGTATTTATTGCAAAGTGCTCTATCTAGGTCCTCAGATACTTATCCATTCTTACTCATTAACTGGTATCAAAGTCTCTTTCTCCATAAATATATGAAAAGTATAAATAAAGACATAAAAATTAGCCAAATATCTCATGTCCTACTGTTCCATTTATTATTAAAGGTTTTCCTTTTTCTTTTTCTTTTCTCCTTTCTTCTAGAAACCTTCAGATGTTGTCTAGTAACCTTGTAATCTTACAGAAATCATTTTTCACCATCTTCCCCATACCCAGGTTTTCTTTTACAAAATATTAATAAAAAGGGAAACAAAGCCTATGAGCAATTTGTTTTTATCTTTGGGAGCTACTAAAGCAGCTAAATTCCACGAATGCTGTTGTGTATGTCTGTGTGTACTTAATAGTTTAATGATCTTCCTTGAAATACAGTAGAGTGTCCAACTCTCCAGTACCATAAGAGGTTCAAACTGTACAAAACCTCATAAACTGATTTATCTATGTTTGATAGCTGATTAATTTTATTAACAGTTTAAATGGTTTTTCTTGTTTGTTTGTTTGTTTATTTTTCATTTAAAGCACCCTGTGGAGGCAATTTAACAGGATCTTCAGGCTTTATTCTTTCACCAAACTTCCCTCATCCATATCCCCATAGCAGGGACTGCGACTGGACTGTCACTGTCAACACGGACTATGTGATCTCCTTGGCATTTATCAGGTGAGTTTCTATGTATTTCCACCCTGGAGAAACCTCTGTAGTCATTTTGTTTTATATATATTCGTGGCATTTTTATTAGTTTTTCCTAATCCTGATACTAATGGTTTGCAGTTATGCAGCATTTAACGGTTTAGGAAGCCTTGAAGAGCAGTACAGACACCAAAGCAATTCTGAAGGTAAGTGAATGAGTATTGCCAGCAGATTCCAGCACACAGAAACACGTTAAAGGTTGAGTAGTATATTAGCTCTCAGGACGTGATCTTTTTGTAACCTTTTCTCCCAGCCTACACTTAATCATCACTACTTCAAAATTCAGTTTTTCCTAAACTTCAAGATTAAAGGTCAGTTCTTCATAGTTTTTTCTCCTACATGTGTTCTGCGCAAAAGCTTTCTGATGCATCCAAAAACCTCTATGTTCAGCACCATCATTGAGGTTAGTAAGGCACACATACTTAGCGAGTTCCTTTTTGGTGGTCTCATTAAGTCAAACTGACAAAGAAGAACTGGATGGGTCATTTGCGTTTGATGAACCAGCAGAACGTGTGTCATTATAAAGTGTTGCATGGAGTTTCCCAAAATTTACGTGTGATGTTCAGCAATGTAAACTGTAATGTTAGCTTAGTGCTGAAGTAGTTGCAGTTCAACTTCTTTGTGGCAAAAGAGGATGGCTTGGTTTGAGCCCTAGCTCTGCCACTGTCATCTGTGTAAATTGACATGTTGGGTAAGTTATTTATTTGAATGAGCCTCCATTGAGTCACATAGGGCCAATTGCTGGTATCACAGAAACCAGGACCAACTCCTTCCCTTAAAATTTCAGTGGAAGTGTTAGGTATCAGAAACTCAAAGAATTCCAAAGTAGAAATTTCCCTAGCCTGATGTAATCAGAACATGGGCCCTGATAACACAAACCCTATTGGTATAACCCAGTGGTAGTTAGGTTAAAGCTCGTTGGTATTTAAAAAATGTTAAGCTGAGATATGCCCTTTTAAAATATATATATATATTAAAGCCATGTTAAATAAAATAACAAAAATAATTCAAAGTCATGAAAATTTGGCTAAGCAACAAATATATGGAATTTTTATTCTCCAACATTTTCAGATACATTATTAATTGGTGTAAATTTCATTCCACTGGAAAGATCCATGCTATCTAAAAAAAAAAAAAAAAAACTCACTGGCATTGAGTTGATTCCAACTCGGAATCTTTACAGAAATTGATTGCCTCATCTTCCTCTGCTGAGCGGTTGGTGGGTTTGAACTACCAACCTTCTGGTTAGCAGTCAGATGCCTTAGGCACTGTGCTAGCTGAGCTCCTTTAGTGAAATGCTAAGCTCCTGTTATAAAAATATTGCTCATTTATCATTTATTCTTCTGAAAACTTCCTGAGGTAAGTACCATTAACATTCTCATTTTTACATTTGAGGAAACGACAATACAGACATTGGATATATTAAGATGTATGATATAGACCTTGTTTACTTATAAAATCATTCTATTTAATAACCGGGTGATGGAAACCCACATTACATGAAGCATCTTATCTAAGTTTGATTTTCAGCTCTGCCATTTATTATGTAACCTTAGGGAGACCACTGATATTTCAGAGCCTTAGCATACTCACTGGTAAAATGAAAAAAAATCCCTCCTTACACCCTAGGATTACTGGAAAGAGCAAGTTAATATTTATGAAAGTATGTTGTGAAATATTTTGGACAATTAGAATGCACTATCTTAAAGTTTTCCAGAAGAAAAATCTTTAGAACTAAGATTCTAAAATTTAAGAAAAAAAAGAAAAAAAACCTTTTTGTTTTATTTTCAAAGACATTTCAAATCAATTATACTGGAGTATTTTTTTAAGCTCAAACCAAAAATTAAAAGGAAATGAATTACATCCCACTATTAAATAGGCTTTTAGCCTTAAAGGATTATAAATAACCCATACCATTTATAAAGCACTTTTAGTCTAGTGCTTTGTAAATGACATGAGACAAGCAAGTTGTAATTATCATGTATTATTAATTTTTAAAAAAGTAAAATTCAGAAAGAAGATAGCAAGTAGTGAAACCAGGCCTTAATGTTTGATTTCTGCTACATTGTAGCCACCATTACCAAAATTTGGTCCTGAGATCTACTGATAGGTTTCAGGGGTAATTAAATGAATTAGGGGAAGGAAACTAGTGAATAAATTTTAACACAGTCCAATAATGTGGTGGTGCTCCCTGTTTCCTTGCTTACCAAGGACTCTTCTTTGTAAAAGGGTTGAGAACCTCTGCACTATTCCAATCTTCTTAGCCACCATTTCCATTTAAATAAATGGAGTAAATGGATCTTCTCTTCTGTGCACACACTCAGTAAGGATTAGAATTGTGGTGGAGACTTAATACCTCTAAATTCTGCAGATGTGGAAATAATATCTCTCACCTAACAAGTTTCTTATTTAGATGAAAAGATGACAAAACTTAATAAAATAGTTAATTACTGACGGATATTTAACAGTGGCAAACATTACAGGTTTCATTTTTGTCACCGACTGGTTGACTTTTTTTAATGATCCAAATGAGCCCATCCTTTTCTCTGCCACAATATGTTCAGGAATATAGAGGCAGATTGGTTGTATAGCTTCTGCCTTCCAAAGATGTGAATCCTATAATCATTATGGGAAAATTCTCATACCTTTAAAGGTTATGTAGACAGATCTTTTATGCAAATTTTACAGTTTTTAAAGTATTTGAGTCATTTCCATGATAAAATGCCCTTATTCATAGTTTATCTAATTTCAACAGTGTAGTGCTTAATTTCTTCTTCACCAAATTCTAAAAGAAGAAAAAATATATATGTACTTGCAGGAAAAAAGAATACCTAAAACAATGTGCAGCTCTTCATGTGGGTAATTTAAATGCAAATTTTATATTTCCACTTAAGTTTGGATCTGATATTTCAAGTTGAATTCTAAAACAAGAAAAATGCTCATATATTTGAAAGTTCAAAGTAAATAATACCATTGAAAAAGAAAAAAATCAGTTGCATTTTCATGATCCAAAATTTGAAAATAGGTATTTTCCACACTTTACTGATATAAACCAGCTTGTGCAAGGATGTATGGCTAATTAGGGACAGAAATGAGGCTTGAACCCCTATCTTCTGACTCATAATCTGTGCTCTATTCATTGGCTACACTCTTGTTTTACATCATTTGTATTTCCTGTAGACTCAATGCCAACATAGAAATAATAGAAAATATCAATATGTATTTCCATTGCAGATTCAATATTCATATTGAATGTGTTGCTACTAAGTAAATTTTAAAATAAGCTTATTTTATTAGATCTGTGTTATTTTTAAAAAAACAAAAATACTGGTTTAGTATGGTTACTACCCTAGTAATAACCATCATACTTATCTCTCTCTCTTTCTTTATTTTTCTTCTTAGTTTTAGCATTGAACCAAACTATGACTTCCTCTATATATATGATGGACCGGACAGTAATAGCCCACTGATTGGAAGTTTTCAAGACAGCAAATTACCAGAGAGAATAGAAAGCAGTTCAAATACCATGCATCTGGCTTTTCGGAGTGATGGATCTGTTAGCTACACTGGATTTCATCTAGAATACAAAGGTAAATGTGAACAGTTGAGTTGAGCATAATGATTTAAATTGTGAATATTTCCTACAGAAGAATAATTTTGTATTGGATTGTCAGTGGTTAGTTACATGCATATTTTTAATGAGGGCTACCTAAAATTCATCTCATAAAAAGGCTCTCAGTGTATACTTTTTGTCTCACTGAGAAAGAAATTAGCTTTCCTCTAATTACTACCAAAGAAAATGTATCAGGCAAATGAAATAGCAAGTGGTACCCTGCAGAAATTAGTTATGACCATAAAATATTTAAAAATAAGACAAACTCATTTTCTGGAAGCGGAAGATTCACTTAAATACATTTATTCAGAGACTACTCTCAGTCATAAGGAGAACGAATTATAGCGTAATGACATTTCGGTCTGTCATCTTCAGATGTTTAAATGACTCAATCAATAGTCAGAATCAGGGAGCAAAATACAGTGAAATGATAATATTTCACAATATTTATGCAGCTATTTAAATGACTCAAATTTTGAATGCCTATGGGTACTTATGAATTTTTTATCTTAGTTTAGAAAAAAATATATTTTTCTATATTAGATTCTTTAAAAGCTATACTTATAGTTCATCTCAAGTTATCAACTGTGTCTGAAAATATGTACTTTAGATTTGTTACTTACCACTTCTTGTTTTAGTAAGAAAATACTTTCTATGAATAAAAATTATAGAGAATAATAAGCTTCAAAGTATCCACCACCCGCTTGGTCACAGCTTTATACTGTGCCACACTTGCTTCAGATGTCTTTATTCTTGTTTAGGAAATAAAATATTACAGATATAGTGGAAATTCCCTTTCTATCTGCCATGGGAGCATGGGTTCATCTCTGCAGGTCAGGAAAATGCCAGAACTTCAAGTAGCATGTGATAAAGAAGTGTTTATTGGGGAAAGGAAAAACTCATAAGGTTATAATATGCAAGATACAAATGCCTGATTCCCCCAACATTCCTGTCATCACTTGGAAAGGCATGCCAAGGCCAAGGTATATGTTGGACATGGCCATGGTATAAATTTCATTCCGGTGGAAAGATCCAGCCCTCCATGAACCTTCCATTTCATAGGAGAAAGTAAACTGAAAAGAAAGATCTTGCTAGTTGGAGAATTCATGGGCTAATTGGCACCAGGCATTGTGGGATTTGGAGTGCTAGCTGTTTATGTGGGTTGTCTGGAAATGCTAGGTGCCCTGCACCTGGGGACACTGGAGAAGCTTAGCCTTCAGACTGTGGGTTAGGAAGCCACTGATCTTAAGGAAAGTTGAGCTTGAGCACCACACCACTTCAACAGGGAAAGGCTCTTCCACCATTCATCGGGACCTAGCTAGCTGGCCATCCAGACAACCCACAGTATGCAGTTAAGGTAATTTTTAGACATCTTGCCTTTTTCACAGCAGTACGCAATCTATTCCAAAATTTGATGATTATCTTTTCCATTCATATATGCTTGTACATATTTTTATATTTACCATCATATATATATATATATATATATACACACATATATATATATATATACATACATACATATATACACACTGGAGCTCTGGTAGCACAGTGCCTAAGGCACTTGACTGCTAACCAAAAGACTGGCAGTACAAACCCACCAGCCTCCTCGGAAGGAAAATGGGGCAATCTACTTCCGCAGTGATGCTGCCTCAGCAACCCAAGGAGGGGTCGCGATGAGTCGGATCCAACTCAACAGCACATAACAACAACAACATATATATACACATTTTATATTTCCTCGGAACGAAGATTGGGCAATCTGCTCCCATACAGATACCACCTTGGAAACCCAAGGAGGGGTCGCTATGAGTCGGAGACAACTCAATGACACATAACAATGACAACAATCATTTGCATATACTTTTGCAAATTTCCTTTTCTCCTTTGCATTGTTTATAAGATTTATCAGTGTTAGAGATGTGCAGCTTCAGCTCATTGTAGTTTCTTTATAATATTTAGTCATATGATTTTTTCATTAATTTTTTTTTTTTTTTTTTTTTTACTCACACTTTGTTTGTTCAATTTCCTAATAAATAGAAGTTAAAACTAATGAAATGAACATTATTTTATATGCTT